CACACCCTCCCCCCTATTTCCATCAATATGATTGTTTTCGGTCTTTTCTGGTACCTGATACCTGATCCTGTCCACACCTTGTGATCACACAGGCTGGTGTACTTCTTCCATGTGGACTTTGCAGTTAGATGGCCACTTGTTTATCTTCAAGCCTTTTTAAGACCCCAAGTTGCTATATATTTTAATAGATGGGCACCATCAGCTTTCTGTACATTTGCTTATGCACCCATTTTGTCTTCAGCGATAGTGTTGGGGAGGTGAGCATCACAGAATGCCAGGTTATTAGAACAAAGTGTTTTGTGTTGAGGAAAGACTTGAGTAGAAGCCCAATGTCCATCTGCTAACTTAATATTTAGTATAAATAGATGTATATGGTAGCAATTTAAAAAAAATTTACTATAGTATAAAAGGAAAAGAAGAGGAACATAGAGGTTGTCCCACCCCCTACCCCATGAGCTTTACTTCTAGGAATGATGTCCATATATATCTTGTATTTATTCATTCTCTTATTTGTTATTGATCATGAGTAGATAGGTAGACTATTGATCATTAGTCAGGACACTTGGAGTGTGTCTACACAAGGAAACACTGACAGTGGATGCCATTGATGAAATTGAATTTGGAAATGAAAATTAAGCTTTTGGGAACATACCTGCTAAAATGAGCTTGTTAGCTTCCCAGTGCTTAAAAACCCCTGATGAGATTGTTAGTGATAACAAATGTGATTGTATAGTGAAAAGTATTACAGTTTAAAAGGTCAGTATAATTAAGTTAACCAGTGTTTATAGATTGTTGGATTTTCATATAATAGAGCATGGAAAGTTTATCGATAGAGTTTCAAATTCCACATTGTCACTAACCTTTTAGGCGTACTACTTGTTGAATTCTGGTGTTGTATCAAAGAAGGCTATTCATAACTTTATGAAAAGGCTATTAAAAAACTTCCAGTTACATATCTCTGTGAGCCAGATTTTCCCTATACTTCAATAAAAACAACATACTGTAACAGATTGAATGCAGAAGCAGCTATGAGAATCCAGCTGTCTTGTATTAAGCCAGACTTTAAAGAGATTTTCAAAAATGTAAAGCAGTGCTGCTCTTCTCATGAATATTTTGTTTTAGAAAAATTAGGTTTCATAAAAATATTATTTGTTACATGTAGTACATTCCATGTTATTTTTAAATGAAATAAAAAATAAATTTTAGTTTCAATTTCTAGTACAATGTGTATTGATATAATTTATGTAAACAAGACCTTTTTGTGGTTCTCAGTAGTCTTTGAGAGTCTACAGAAGTTTTAATAGGAAAAAGTTTGGGGATTACTGATTAAGAGGAATGATTATATAACTGATAAGTAGTATATGTTAGTGAGATTTTGGAGGGTTTTACATTTTATGCTAAGAGATCTGTACTGTATTTTTACCCTAAACTGTAAAGACTCTAGAGTATTTTTTAGCAGAAAAATGATACAAAGTGGTATGTAGATAAGTAAGATTAACTAGCTGTAAACAATAAGATACATTAGGATGGAAGTGGGATGTGAGGGTGGCAATTACAGACCATCAGCATAAGGACTGATGAAAGGTCAAAAGGGCCTAGTTTAGATTGGGTTGGAGTCCCTGAGTTGTACATACACATGATAACCAAAAGGATGAAGGTTCAAATCTCCCGAAGGCATCTCAGAAGAAAATTATGGCTGTCTACTTCTGAAAAATTATTCATTAAAAATACAGTGGAGCGTGAGCCAATTTTGCATACAAGGACTTGTCATTGAATTAGAATCTACTGAATGGCATTTGGTTGATCAAACACAAAACAGATATACAAACACGCAAAACTACCGCCATCAAGTCATTTCAACCCATAGCAACCTCATGTAGGGCTTCTGAGACTGCAAATCTTTCCAGGATAGTTAAACACACACACACACACAAATCCACTATATATGTGTGTGTGTGTATATGAATGATTTGTATTCCAACAGTTTTTCAACTGCCAAAGATTCAGACTTTAGGCCTTGCTTACTCTCACTGCCCGAGTGGGTTCCCTAAAATGACTCACAGAAAGGGATCTATACACTTGCTTAATATTACCAAGAAGAGAAGTATAGATGAGGTCTGGAACGATTTTTGTCATAGAGTTTCATGTCCCCAGACATGAAGCAAACTCAAAAGGAAGCTCCCAGAACCCAGATCCTTTATCATAGTTATTGGGGCCTCAATATAGATTTATGATCAGAACTTTAATGCACACAGAATAAATGATTGATTGCATCACCGAGCATGTATAACTCATTCCACCTTGCCTCAGTGCTTTCCTAAAGTGATGCTTCCACCTCATTTACACACATGTGCTGCCTGGCTGTTTCAAAAAAACCAGTACACCCTGGATTGCTGTTGATTTGCAAGGACTGTTGTCAGAAACCAGATACAAAAGGTCAAATAAAGTTCTTTGTCACATACTTAGATAATCAAATAGTGATCTGGTTGCTAAAAATTTGTATTCTAGTGAATAGATTATAACATCAAAATCTGATAACACATACATTTATTCATAATTTTTGTTCTTATAGTTTTTGTGTTTCTGTTTGTGTGTGAGGGCGGGCTTTTAAGCCTTGTTTTAACCCATGTTCATTTTCATTATTTACTTATAGCATTGTACAAAAGGTCAAGTGCTCATGTAGAATAGAATGTCGTTAAAACGAGTTATGAGAAAAAAATAATAATGAAAATAAACTTTCCCCTCTTAAAAAAATTACCCAATTAGTGGTTCATAGAAGAGAAACTTCAATTTCATTTCCCTCTTAAGATAAGTGTTGTTCATTGAAATGCATTGAAAGTGTGTGGATGATTTAACTAGGCTTTTTTAAATGGATGAAAATGCGCTCTAACAACCATCTGATAAAATGAAAAACTGGAAAAAATGTGTACTCAGATGAATGATTCTCTGAAGGAATAATGGTGCAAATGAATTATCAAAGTGTGAAATCATTAAAAACAAAAACATGTTTGGGTTTTTATTGAATCTTAATTGTAGGCTCATGTATTTTCTTTTGTAAGGTGAGTTAAAAGAAAATTGCCTAACTAAAATTTTGGAAGCCAGTGTTGTAGGACATATATTATACAATAATTTATTTCACACATGAGTTGCTGTTCATTTTTTTAGCATTAACATGCGTGCTTTCCTTATATAGGAGAATATATAAAAAACTGGAGGCCAAGATACTTCCTTTTGAAGACAGATGGCTCATTCATAGGATATAAAGAGAAACCTCAAGATGTGGATTTACCTTATCCTCTCAACAACTTTTCAGTGGCAAGTAAGTTAATTATAATTCTTGATTCACCTTGTAGTTATTTCTTTGTATGACATGTTTCAGATATCTCAGGATCTATGAGAAGCCTGTGAAAATATTTGAATGTGTATTTAATAGCAAAGCATTTTTTAGCTTAGATAGCCTTTCAATTTCTTAGCATAGGGATTTTCAATAATATATAGTCTTAGGTAATGTAATATCATTTATTATTTTTATTGTTAGAATTTTAATGGATGAATACAGCTTCCCAAATATGTACTTTTAGGTTTTCTTTATAAAATCTAAACAAAGACCTTTGAACTTGTTTACTATGTTGAAATTAGTTGTAAAATATTGTAGTACTTGGTGCAATTCTAATCAAATTCTCATCATAATTTTAACTCTTCTGATAGTATCATGAGAAAAAAGTGAGTCACATTAGATTTTTTTTCTGGAAGATATTTTGCTTATAGTCAAAATTTGCTTTCTTGGAATAATAAAAATGCTTGTGCTATAAAGTTATTTGGAAATTTTTTATTTGCTTGAACACAGTTGAAAAACCTGGATGATGACGACAATGATGATGCCAACAATTTTTATTTTTTAGTCTTTTCAGGATTTTTAGATGTACTGATAATCAACAAAAGGCCCTTTCTATGTTAATTCAGAAATAAAGCATTTAAAAAGTGTGTTAAATTAAAATAAACCTGTATAAGAGCTAGAAGATATACCATTAGATAAAGTCATTAATTACCTAACATCATTAATTTTGAATTATGGTTGTATCTTTGTCATCTATTAGCCATATTTATATATAAGGAAAAATTTCCCTAACTACAAAGCAAATAAAGCGAAATATTCAAAACAGCAACGCAAAATTTTAAAAAGCAAAGTTCTTGAACATTATATAATTTATTTTACTGTTTTTTGCCCCTACTGTTTTCAGGAGGTTAGAGTGGATAGTCTTTATTTCATTTTATTAGAATGAAAAATAATTAATTGAATGAATTATGAAGTCATTTGAATGATGAGCTTATTAACTTAAATTTGTTTCTATATTAGTGAAATCTGCGTAGAGATTTTTGTTTTTAATAAAATGAGATGGCTATCATATTAGTTGAAGAAAACATCTTTTTCGCAAATGCCCAAAATATGACTTTCCCATTAGAATATTATTTTAAAATCCACTTTTCATGTGAAATATTTTGTATTTTGTATGAACATAAGAACACATTTTCATTCTAATGATCTTATGAGTAAATTTTGTTTCATACTGATAAATACTGTTTCTGAAACACTTACCAGCATACATCATCATGTCCTACCCAAACTAACATAGTCATTACTTTGTCCATTACAGTAACAAATGCTATTAGTTTGTCTGAATTGATGTCTGAAAGTACAGAGCTTGTGTATTTGCTGATCAAAAATGCAGCATTTTCTGACCTTATGAAATTTCACACCCCAGCAAGTTTTAAAGACATACTGTATGTCACAGTCTGCCAACATCTGCTCCAACACTTCCACTGGCAGAGGCTGAAATACATGCTGTACTCTTGGGGAGAGAGCCTGTTCAGTGACTGACAGCACACCCATGAAACAAACAGTAGTCTACATCTGTAATCTTTACTCATATAACCAAGTCGTTATGGCTGTTGATGCAAATGAACAAGTAAAGTTATAGACTAACTCCTTAGTTTTCAGAAGTGTTATTAACCTTACATAAATATACTTCCAACCTTACACTAAATAATTATAAATCGATTAGCCTTACAGCTTGACTTATTACAAATTAAACATTAAAAGTAATGATTACCTTAAGGGATAAAAGGAGTCTAGTGAAATGGGCATTGAAGGAAGAAAGAAATGATTCAAATTTCAGCTTTGTCACAACTAAGAATATGACATTGGGTTGGTTGTTTTCCCAAACTCTCTATTAGTTCCTTTAACAGCATTCTGAAAACACTTGGATTCAATTGTGTACAATCCTTTCTGTTTCTTAAGGATCCCATGTGGCTCAGTGAGTTAAGTGTTGAGCTGTTAACTGCAATATTGGTAGTTCAAGCCTACCATCCACTCCACGGGAAACAGATGAGGCTATCTGGTCCCATAAAGATTTAGAGCAGCGGCTCTCAACCTGTGGGTCCCGACCACTTTGGGGGTCAAGCGACCCTTTCACAGGGGTCGCCCGATTCATAAAGTAGCAAAATTACAATTATGAAGTAGCAATGAAAATAATTTTATGGCTGGAGAGTCACCACAACATGAGGAGCTGTATTTAAAGGTTGCGGCATTAGGAAGCTTGAGAACCACTGATTTAGAGTCTCAGGAATCATGGGGAGAAGTTCTCTGCCCTGTAGGATTACTGTGATTCAGAATCAACTCCATAGCTGTGAGTTTGGTTTTCGTGAGTTTTTTTCTGGTATTATGAGGTGGAGTTTGATCAGGTCCTTGAAGAGTGAGTAAGAATTAAACAAATTATTAAAATAAAGGAGGACATTCCAGGTCAAGAGGGACAAAGAATGTTTTTCTCCTAGAGATGGAACAATTTCAGTAAGAGCTACCTTGCCAGTACTTACCCATCTTCCTCAACCCGTTTAGAATATTGAAGGAAGACTAATAAGATATTTTTTATGTGCCAGGAAATGTTATATATACATATATTACTTTAATAGTTGCAATTTAAGTCCGATTTTTATGATAAATAAAAATGTCACTGCAAAATTTTACTAAAATATACTTTTTATCTTAAACAGTAGAAGAACTGGAAGGGACTTTATAATTGATTATTCCAATCTTTATTAAATTTCAAATTCTTTTCCTTCTTAAAAAAAAACAAACGAGTCTACAGTTTACTTCTCAACCCACTGCAGTCTAGTTTCCTCCATTATCCACTTGATTTCATCCACTTTTAATAAGTTTCCAAGGGACTCTTTAATCACTAAACCTGGTAGACATTTTTAATTTCTTATTTTTCTTGGATTTACGCTGGGCTATTGGGCACCACCTCCTTCTTGGGACAACCTCTCCCATTGTTCTCTGGTATGCCTCTCAGTCCTGGTTTAACTCCTTTATCTATCTCATCAATGTTAACAGCCTAGTGTTTAACTGGGTTCTGGCCAAGAACTCTCACTTTGTGCCCTGTCCCTGGATAGTCACATTCACTTCCATGATTTTAGTGACAGCCAATATACTGGTTACTTACAAGGTCTGTACTCAAGACTGGACTCTCCAACATTAGACAACTATATTCAACTGATGGCTAGATAGCTTTACCTCGATGTTGTGTAGAATCAACATCTCTAAAATTTTATTCAAGATAACTTTTTCTTTCATATTTCAGTTCTCTCTCTACCCGAGCAGCAACTTGGATCTACTCCTTGCCTTTTTTCCCCCTTTACATCTTTTTTTCCCTTTCATTTATTTATTTTTTTCTTTATTTTCCCCCCCTCCTTTCCTCCTCCCCTCTCCCCCATGCACCCTTGATAATTTATAAATTATTATTATATCTTATATTACACTGCCGGGCGTCTCCCTTCACCCACCCCTCTGCTGCCTGTCCCCCAGAGA